GGCCTTACAGGCAGAGGCGTGGCAGAGGTTATGGGTTTAGATAGTAGATCATAGTTATAGTCTTGCCCTGGCTCCCGAGTGAATCTTCTCCTTAGGAGACTCTCCTACTCGGAGCCAGGTATGTGATCATTTAGTTCTTTGTTATCTTTCTCTTGTACTGGGTTATTAGTGTGGGATACTGACTTAGAGGAGACTCTCCTACTCGGAGCCAGTTTGGAATTGCATAGAGACGTTTTATAGGTGATCCCTTGCTGTCAAAGCTGTCCCCACGATCACAGTGAAGGTTCAACCTCTGAACCTTACAAGTTGATGACACTCTAAAAAAAATCGATCGTTATGGTACATTGATTTTGAATTGGTCTGACTCACTGATCTTCAATCTTGGTTTTCAATCGGTCGTCTTTTTCAATTGGTCGGAGTAATATTGATTCAAGTCATCCAGTTATTCATATTCAATACTTGATTCTAATTGAATGATGGAATTGCTGAGCCAAGAGGATCTTTTGTGAGCAAACTTGAGAAAACAAAATCCAGAGACCCTTCAGTGCGACTGGACATTACTGTCACAGCTTGTGTCACTGGTAAGTAAGGCTTTCACTAGCTGTGAAAGGGAGGGGGTGGTGGGGCTACCAAGGGGGGGTGGTGGGGATACCGGGATCCTTTAAAAAATAAGTGACAAACATATACAAGAACCATTAAACAACTGAGTAAGAGAGTAGAGCAATAGAAAAAAAAGAGAAGAAATAACTTGTATTAAAGATAGTCATGAAGTAGAAGGCAATTTAAATGATCGAGATATAAGAAAAAAAAAGAAAAGTGAGACTTGAAAAGTGAGATCGGGAGTGAGTGTAGGAAAAGAAAAAAGGAAAACTTTGACTTAAAGAGAGTAATTAACTTGAAGGTAAACTAAAAGATATGATGATTAAGAAAAGGAAAAAATAATTGAGATATCAAGTCATCGCTTCTCCATGTTCTCCACCAAGGTAAGAGCCTCAGAGAACTCGCCAGGAACCTTTATCCCAGCCTTGAGCCACTCCCGAGACGAAGCGCATCGCTCAATGGTACGGCTAGTCATAGCCAATCAATCGGACCCGCACACGTCAGCTGCACCTGAAAAGATCCTTTCACAAGAACAGGTTGTTCCAGAACAACCCATAAAGTCACGAGCCATGAGGGCAAGGACAGGAAATGCGCCACAATTATCCTAAAGCATAAGACACAGTCAGAAATTTTGAAGTTAAAGATAAGATGATGAAGAAAGAATATGTACCTTCCACCACGACAAAAGTGTGCCACAGGTAAGAGGAAATTTTCCTGATATGTAACCTTCAAGTTCTTGTTTGGTATCATTGTTAGGTCCAGATGCCATAGAAGCAAATACATTGTATTCGTCATCAGTGACAGTATTATCTTGCTGGACAGTGGTGATTGTTGTGACCGGATGACTAGCTTGATATTGAATTGAATAAGAATCCAGATGTTGTTTGACAATTCTTTGGATGCGAGTGACATGTGATGGATGATGAAGTTCAAAGAACTTCATCCTGAGTCGAGGGTTCAGGACGGTAGCGACTACAATAGCATCACATTCAAGAGCTTCTGACTCGTAAGAATCAAGGCGACTGATCATGCTTGACGTCAATTTTTGAAGGCTGGCGTATGGAGTATAAGAATTGAGTTTTTGAAGGGATGTCCTGACACGGTGATAGTCGAGTAAAATTATAGCTGCTGTGGAATGATTGCCCTCGATCCTCGAGGTAGCTAACACAATAACCTAGTCAAGACATCAGGGATCAGTAAATGAATATAAGGTGGAAGGATCGAGAGAGATATCAAAGTACTCACTTCCATAACCTCATTCAAAGCAGATGCACATAGCCATTCGCTTTTTGAGATTGATAGTTCCTCAAAATAACCCTCCTCGTCATTTGCTAACATCTGATTTATAACCTGTAAATAAAGTGATTTCTTAGTGATCTTCAAACCGACTGAGCTCAAAGAAAGGAAGTCTTACCTCGGCTCCATCTACCATGATTGATCGGCTCTGGTGCAAGCCATTCCATTTGCTGGACTCACCAAGGATAGGACAACGCAAAGTCCTACCCAACTCCTTAGCACGGTTGCGGAATTCCAGACGTCGAGATGGACGGCGAGCAATCAGTCGGCTTACTCGATCGATCTGCAGAGATTGAAATCAGTATCGAGATGAAGAAAGTTGGTAAGAGTGTGAAGAGAGAGCTTACCTTCTTGATTGCTTGAATCACTAGGTCAGGTCGGCTTCTTGAACTAGGTAAGGCAGCAGGGTCTGGGAATTGAGATACTTGGTCATTGTGGTCACCGTCACTGTCAGATTCACAGTCGCGAGTGCCATTGCCAGATTTGCTAGCGTCCGAATCTTCAGTTTCATTGTCTTCTTCAACTTGCATTGCATCAGTTTCATCGTTAAGAGTGATGGAAGGGGTGGGAACGTTGAAAAGAGGCTGGGTGGTTGGCTTGGTGTGGCCGGGATCAAGACCGATCAAGGCTAGACCGTGCTTAACAAGCAGGGCTAGCTTGTGAGCATAGCAGCGAATCTGCATACGTCCTGCTGGCCAGTCGACACTCGGGGTAGCCTCTTGAAACATCCGCTGTAATTCATAAGCAAGGGTGCGGTTGTTTGATCCCGAATCGGTAGTTTGGGCTAACATGTAGATAAACAAAGCCAATCAGGTTTAAGTTTGAAGATGATAATGGAAAAAGATAAAAAAAAACTTATCTTATCATGTAGACCATGCTTGATGAGGAATCGGGCCACTGGTCGTGCAAGTAGGACACTGGCATGGTTCCACGCGGCCAGCTTTAGACTAAGATGGAATGTCTGGAACTCCCACTTATCGTCAATGAATGTTACATTCATTCCGATAAAGGCATACCGGCTCCGACGGGTGGTCCAGCCATCGTGAATCAGGCAGAACTTGCTTGAATTGTTCTAGATGATGACCAAGAGATAAAGAAAAGAAAAGGAGGGAAAAGAACAAAAAGAATCATAAAGTCAAAAGATAGAAACATAGGCAAAAGTTTGATCAAGAAGAAGATTTACCTTGAACCTTGATAGTTTCCAGAACCGTCTGTTGCAATCCCGAGTAAAGACGCTTGGCAGCGTTTGCTGCCCATACTGCCGACACGTTTGCCAATCGGAAAGCTGCTCGTAAAGAGCAGTCTTGGAATCGAGCCCATGGTAATGCTTGACGAATCACCCAGATGACACACATCAAGTTGAGAAGATCGACACTAAACTTGTCCTTAGAAATAAAATGATCAAGAGTTCCTGATTTGTTTGCCTGCACCAATCTCTGCAGCTCCTCCCACGACGGTGGAAGATCCAAACCGGCCGCTATGGCATCCGACCGCCTGGGGAAAGCGGGTCGACCTTTGCTTCCATCCCGATGCCCGTACAGGTTGTAGTAGCTAGTCAAACCCTTGAGGAATCGACCACGGCACCACCGACACCTATAAAGCCGTGGATCACCAGACGTCTGAAGAACATATATTAGTATCTAAACTCAAAACAAAAACAAAAACAAAAACAGACTAACCTGGCCATTAGGATAGATCGGAGGGTGAAAGTACTTGAGTAGTTCTTGAACCCGAGCCAGGTTTGAAGCCCTGATACCAGTCCTGGGTCTCCTCGGAATGATCTCGTCTCCAGAATCTTGATCAATATCTACGCAGTCAGGAACTGTCTCGTCCTATAAATGGAAAATTATAATATTTATCAATTAATCATTGAAAGCGATTGTTGAGAACAAAGGAAAGTAAAAGATTAAACAGCTTACTTTTTTTCTCTTCTTTGTCACCTGTTTTTTGGTCTGACACTTTGGTTTTCCGGTTGAAGGCGATTGAAGGTCCAATAGATCGTCCTCATCTTCAGGGACAGCAAGAAAGAGCTGATCAATCGGGCCAAACAGAGAGCTGGAATGTGAGGGACCGGGAGTCAGAGATGCCACCTGAAGAGATCGTCGAGCGTCGGGCAAAGCAAAGACAAAGCCAGGAGATGGTCTAACTGGTGTCCTTGGCCGGAGTGATCGCCCTGAAGGCAACTGGGTTGGGGCAGTAGACGGCAGAGCCAGATTGATCCGAGAGTTTGATCGAATCAGTCGATCTGGTTTGCTCTGAGAGGTTGATGGGACCATGACGACACAGTAGCAGTGTAATTGGAAAAATTTGAGATGCAGTTGTATGGTTCAGTTGAAGATAATTAGGATGGAAAAGAGATAGATAGAATGTAATTGGATGGGAAAATGTGGTCCAACAATGAAACTGGAATTGGTGGCAAGAGGAGAAAGGTCAGTGAATTGATCAAACAGCTTTTATACTTGTCGATTGGTACTTACATGTAATCCTACAAGTGACACCAAGTGACACTCAGACCCAATCTTGTCATTGCTGCTCTTGATAACTTTCGCCCAAATGGTGGAGAATTGAAGGTAAAAACGGTGAGGGTGGGGTGGTGGAATGAGGTGATTGAAGACTTGTTGAAGGGTGGATCGGGTGTAAGTTGAAAAATAAGGGTACTCGAGGGGTAAATGGTCTGGGGCGGAGGGCATGGACATATACAGGTTCGGGCGTGGAGGGCATGTGTAGTATATGTAGTATATTACAGGTCATAGCGCTCGCTATGTGTACCGCTATGCATGTGGACATGTTACATACAAGCTCGAGCGTTGCACATGACCCACTACAGGAAATTTTGGTTTCCAGATAGGGCTGTGCGATGTCCACTATGAAAAGACCCCCTATTTTTAGCGGAAGTCCCGCAGCGCTTTCACAGCGCTTCCGCTATATGATGCGGTGTGATTTCGACGTTGCCAAGGATTAGCAAGTACTCTCACCTCATCCTCCGCACTCCCTCCAAAAATTTCAAGAAGGCCAATTGTCCAGAAATCTCAAGATGAAGACGTCTCTGAATCAAGTGATGAGGATTCAGATTATCAAGCAAAAGTTAGTTGAGTCTGATATTTATGGAAAGTTTGAATTTCGCTGACCTCCTCCTTTCCCTCTTTGCAATAAAGGAAACACAAGATCGAACGGAACTTCCTGAACCCACACCCCCAGGTAAAATCACCCACCACGCATCCAACATTTTGAAACAATCCAAGCAGCCGGATGTATCTACTACCCAGCCAACTTCAGTCCGAGAAGCCAAATCAAACGTAAGTACCCTAACTTTCAACTAATTGCTCACACATGATTTTCAAGCTGACCTCATTCCATTTCTAGCAATCCGATGACAAAGGACTGGAAGAAGATGCTCACCACGATAATATCATTAAAAATACCAAAAGAAACTCGATATCATCTCAATTGGTTCCTGAAGATCAATCCACTTTGACCATCAACATTCAAAAGCAATTGACTTCACCTATCAAGGCTAACACCTCCAAAATAACCAAATCAAAACCTATGCACGATCAAGGAGGCTCCCGTGACTCACAGCCCTCTCTGAGTCCCATAACCACAAGAGCTCAAACGCAAGCTCAAATGGCAACACGAAAATCGAGTAGAAGAATCCACCCCACCAATGAAGTTAGTCTCTTTCATACACTCCTGAGTTTTTCAAGGATCACTGAGATTATCACTTGTACAGGAACAACCAAAATCTAAGAAACAGCGTACCATTACCAGTGCGAAGAACACATTGAAAAAGGTATGATTAGTATTGTACCATTTTCGATACTGTCATCAACTGAATTTGTGTGAATAGGCTGGTTCGAAATCACAAAATCTCACGAAGAAAGCATCGACCAATCCAGGGAAAGCCAAACCGGTATGCATTTCATACAAATCTTCAGTTATTTCCTGATGACTGACCCTCTTTTAGCTCTTTTAGCCTTTCACTGTTGTGGAAACACTAGATGAACGCCTATACCCCTTCATGACGAACGCCATCGATGTCCCTCCATTTGGTCTTTGTGCCTTCGCATCAGTTGCAGTGTCTCTGGGACGTCCAATGAAGGAGGCACCTTTAGTTCGATCCGAGATGCTTCAGGAGGTCAGGAAGAACATCAAATGGTACACCAAGAACATGGCCAAAATAGCTACACCTGCATTTGGGATCAAGAAGATGCTTCAAATACTCGAGCACCCAGGCCTGACTGCAAAACGCGATTTATACTATCCTGTACCTGGTGGTTTATGTATCATTGCAAACACCTACAAAAGGCCCGTCATTTGCTACTCCGACGTATCAGCAAACTCCGGCATTTGCTATCCTTTCTTCACCTCTCCTAAAGATGTCGAGCCCATCTTCCTGGGAGTGTTAAATTCCTGCCATTGCTGCTCTTTAACTATGGAGATTCGACCTGATCTACCAATACCTTTACCTGCACCTGAATGGTACGATTTACGATATCAATGCGCATCCGGGTGGGAAGAAAGATATGATCGTAACAACATAGTTTGGTGTGATTGGCGTAGGGAAGTCAATCAAAAGGGTATACCTTTCAAAAGAGAAAGAGGTACTTCAATTGAGGTAGAATCAGACGAGTCATCTGACTTGTCTGAAGCTGAAGATTAAATAATATGAGACCAAATATGTCTACAGTATTTTCTTTTTATGTTTTCCTTTACTCGATTTTTTGTTTTATTTGATTTTGTTATCTTTTGATTTTTGTAATTTGTGGGATCTGATTTTTTGAAAAAGAAATTTAATGCTTTTAAATGGCTAATTTGCTTTAAATATTCGTGGATTCGTGGAATATTCAAAGCTTCATTCTGCCTGATGTAAGATTCCAGGTATGAGAGTGTATGCAAGTGTGTTGAGCATACAGTACAGCGTACACATGTGTACACCTGTGTGACACGCATGCGTGTGCCTGCGTGTGCCTGAGTTACACACATGTGTGCAACGCTGGTGCACCCATGACTGTCACGCAGGCACACGCAGGCGTACACATGCGTGTAACGCAGGAACACGCATGTGTGTCACACAGGCGTACACCGTGTAACACAGGTACCTGCATGCATGGAACGCAGGCACACACATGAGTTACACGCAGGGACACCCATGTGTGTAACATAGGTGTCCCTGCGTGTATTGTAGGCACACACATGTGTGTGCCGTAAGCACATGCAGGTGCATGATTGCATATTACGCTGCGTGTACTCATGGGAAAATTGAGTAGATTGATTCAATTGAAACAATTGAATCCATTGAGACTGATTGAATCAATTGAATCAATTGATTTCAATTGAATCGATTGAAACAATTGAAACAATTGAAACAATTGAATCAATTGAAATCAATTGTTTCAATCGGTCTCAATGGATTCAATTGTTTCAATTGAATCAATTGTTTTGAGATCGATTGAGACAATTGAGACAATCGAATCAATTGATTCAATTGTTTCAATTGAATCAATTGAAATCGATTCATTTGGGTTCGATTCAGGGGGAAACCACTTGACTTGGGGGTCAAATGGTTTCCCCCTGCCCTCCTATTTCTCCCACTCGTCAGTTACACAATTTCTGGACTCATCCATCTATCGTTCAACTTATCCTCCTTTTTGATTCTGCCCTTCGATTTCGTTGTTTGCATTTACTTCAACCTTTCATCTCTACTTCTGGGTAAGTCCCTAGCACCTATGATCTTGATCAACTCACAGATTCCCAAGTCTGATTTCCTCATCCATTACACATTCAGATCCGGATTGGTTTCCTCCACCCCTAGCCAGCTTTTATCATCAATATTCACGTTGAAACAAGTCTTGATAGTATAATTAAAATTTAATACATACCGTCGTGGTTGCTTGATTAGAGTGTTGTCGGCCTCCGTGCTACAATCCATCTGGTCATACGGCTCGCTGTTTGTTGAATTTTTTTTTGTCTTCAACTTTCAAAATTTCAACACTTCAACTACAATGTCACGCCAAAAAAGACGACAAAGAGCCGCAAAATATGGATTCAAAAAATCTAATTTCAAATCCAAGACCTCACCCTCAGCAATCAAAAGGCGCACTGAACGTTGGAAGGCTTAGCAATCAAAAGGCGCACTGAACGTTGGAAGGCTTACTACAACGAAGGGCTTGGGAGACTCTACCCTTGACGGCATACGAAGAGAACTCAACTCAAGGCTCGTCTTACCACTGAACTTGGTCTTCCTCTCGACACTCTGTTCATATTCCGATGGAGTCAAAAGAGTGATCACTTCTTCTTCGATAGAGCACCCATCATAATCCATACTGGTACTGTGGCAATCATCAATGCCGCTACTCTAGAACTCGTATTGGTGGTGCGATGTACTAAGTTCAAGGATCTATCTCCTTCAGATAAGGAAGCCTTTGATTCAGCCATTTTGACTACTTTCACGGCTGCCCGATCAAGAAGAAAATGTCTCACCAATGCAGCAACGCAGGATTATCAGGATATGGGAATCTTTTGGGGTTGGATGGGATGTGCAGGCTTGAGAGGAGGGTCGGATCCTGGCCTTTCTTTGGGTAATTAATTATCATAATTTCTTATTGTATTTTAATTTGCTGACATGCAGCAACTTCGCTTCATAGGTCCCTATTCTATCAATGATTTTACTTCAGCCAATTTGGAACGTATTGAGGGTGACAAGGAAACTATGGCCAAATTCCACCAAATCCGCGACTTCCTCGCCGAAAGATTTGCATCTTTAGCTTTTTCAGTATTCATATCGAACATTCAACTGGCTTTTGATGCAAAAGTACCTGGTTTTGATGATTTAAAATGGCAAGATACACCCAATGGTCTAGTGTTTGCTTCCAACTTAATTGTTACATGTGATGGATTCTTTAACAAACCTCACGAGGATAAAGATCATACTCGATATTCTTTTGGTATAGACTGCCTGATTGACCGTAAGACAGGTTTGCCATATCAATTGGAGGGTTCGCCAAATAAAGGTTCCATCTGTGGAGCTATGTTCATAGTACCGGAGTTTGATGTGGTAATTGACTATGACCGCTGCAATGGTCTATATGAGACTGTTTGGGATTCTACGGTGAGTCTGATTTTTTTTGGGTTTGGTTTTTGGGAGGACATTAGGCTGACTGGGAATTCTTATTTCCCGATGTCACAGATTGAGCATTACACATCCCAATCTATTACATATAATGAAAATGGTGATGAAATACATCCTTCAAAATGTAAGATTACATGTTATGGCTCATCCTGCCAAGTCTCAAAAATGCTTGTCAACTGCATCTCATTACTGGAAAAAGATAAAGAAGGAATGCCTGCTTCTGAATGGGAAGCATATCGTAAATCCCGTGTGAAGTCCTATGAACAAGAGACTGCATTTAAGGAAGTGAGGGCAATGGCAATTGAAGGTATCAAGAAAGAGAAGGCAAAGTTGAAAAGAGAAGCCAAATTGATGGCACTTTTTAAAGCGCCCAAAGTTGTAACTAAGATCAATTAGATTATCTCTTATGTTCTATCTAAACCATTGCTTTGTTTCCTTTTAATTAGGAATTTTGTTCTCTCATATGATGTTTCTGTTTGGAAGTTCATAATATTAAATTTACAAGGTATTTGCCTGAGAGTGAAGAACCTCTGTGTTACACTCACTCTCACGCAGCCTAGTCACCATACCTCACCAGGCCGCACGCACCCTCACTCACGCAGGATACGCAGGAGCATGTGGATTGTGGAAGTGGTGATGTAGCCGCATATGAAGCTATAGGTACATATGTGTAACATATGTAACTCTTGGCAAGAGTATGTGCATTGTAGGATTGCAAACCATACTGACTGAAACGTGATTTAAACATTTTTTTTCACCAGAAACTTTTCAGTATACATCCTACCCGTGTTCTGAGTCTTGAGATGGACTCAGACTCACTTGTTACCCCCTAGAAAATGCTACTTCCACGTGTTTTCCAACACATTATGGCTGACAAGTCACTGACATATGTTTGATGACAAACTGTCACTTATACGTGATTGTTAACATTGGTTTTCACCAGGACTTTTTCAGTATACATCTGAAGGTTGTTCTGAGTCGGAAATTGGACTCAGAGTAACTTGTTACACCCTAGACAATGCTACTTTCACGTGTTTTCCATCACATTATGACTAACATGAGTTTGATGACAAACAATCACATATACGTGATTTAAACATTGGTTTTCACCAGAACTTCTTCAGTATACATCCAAACCTTGTTTTGAGTCTGGAATTGGACTCAAAGTCACTTGTTACACCCTGGACAATGCTACTTTCACGTGTTTTCCATCACATTATGACTGACAAGTCATAAACATGTGATTGATGCCCAACAGTCACTTATACGCGAGTTAAACAAGTTTAAACAACTTAACTTTTTCAGTATACATCTGAAGCTTGTTCTGAGTCTTGAATTGGACTCAGAACAACATGTTTCCCCCTAGAAAATGCTACTTTCACGTGTTTTCCATCAAACTTATGACTGTGACATGAGTTTGATGACAAACTGTCATCAAACTTGCGTGATGAAAACATTGGTTTTCACCAGGACTTTTTCAGTATACATCTGAAGCTTGTTCTGAGTCTTGAAATGGACTCAGCCTCACTTGGTACACCCTAGACAATGTTACTTTCACGTGTTTTCCATCACATTATGACTAACAAGTCACTGAGATGAGTTTGATGACAAACAATCACATATATGTGATTTAAACCTTTGTTTTCACCAGAGCCTTTTCAGTATACATCCATACCTTGTTCTGAGTCTTGACTTGGACTGAGAGACACTTCTTACCACCTAGACAATGCTACTTTCACGTGTTTTCCAACACATTATGACTGTGGCATGAGGTTGATGACAAACAGTCACTTATACGTGATTTAAACATTTGTTTTCACCAGAACATTTTCAGTATACATCCA